TCTGTGTCGATACTGTGTCGTTTCTGGTGTCAGTCGACACAATTTTTATCGACTTCAATAGTCCGACTGGTCGACTCGAATCGTATCGATTTTTGTGTCGACACGTTACTCTAGTTCGTTTTTTAAAACAATTAAATGTTTTATCATTCTCTAGTGCTCATTGAGTGAGTTTCATGTTTTTCACTATATCTTAATAAAAAATGTTCGGTTTAAAGATAGCTGTGAGCTGAACAGGCAGGATAGCTGCAAATCTTTCAGAATCCTCTATACGAACCACAATTTTTTTAGAAAACTATGGAGTTTTATATCAATGTGTACAGCTCAACAAGAACTACATTTTCCATTTTATAGCATTCTAAAATATAAAGTTCGAAGAAAATTACGTTAGAGTTGGATTATTGGAACGAACATGTATTTTATGTCACATCATACCCATGGAACAGAGAAAGACTTTTTCGGTTTTCAAAAAGTTAATGTTTTCAGCAGTTTGCTGAAATTATGATATTGTTGTAATAACGATAAAATTGTTAGGAAAACTGAATTCTCGTTTCGATAGTTGTCATTCTCGATAGTTGTCATGTAAGCGATTACAACATAAAGTTATTCTAAACATCAAACCCATGAAACAGACGAAACTTTATTTCATGTTTCAAAAAGTTTATATTTTCTGCACTTCGCTATAATTATGATATAAAAAGGTTAGATTTTCCAATGACATCCTCTACACGATGACAAAAAGATCTCGGTCATAATGTAACGAACAATGCTTTTGTGCCATGGCATTGTGTTAATAATTAGTACAAAATTCAATCTTCATCAGTTCACTCCAAACCTTTGTCATCTGAGAACTTTCAATGGTCACAAATAGTTTCACTCTATCCATTGAATTCATTCTTTTGCTGTTTCGTTCTTTTTTACTCTCACAGATTTACAACAGCTATAAATCTGTGATCCTTCCAATTAATAAATGATTATCTTCACGTGAATTCCTTCCTTCTTTTGTATCTTGATCCATTTTTCTAATCTCGGAGATCCATTTTTCTTTCTCGGAGGCGCACCATCCAGCTGTTTGAAGCGCCTTATGCGCGGCAAACAGGCTGGTTTAAATAATTAAACCAGATAAACTACCATTCAGTAAAATAAGAAGCTGAACTGTGATTTATTTGAGACGCCCACAGAATCTGGCGCGGAGGGCGTATAGGAGAGGGGGGAAAGTGCGCGCCCAAATCGGGAAGAATTTTCAGACGAAGATTTTTAGCTTTCTGGTGAGGTTCTCAGAGGATGTTTCGGCTAATAGCCGTGCAAAACGGCTAATAGCCGAGCAAAACGGCAAGGCGCGACATGCATGTCGCGCCTTTAGTGAAATAGCAAGGAATGAACTTAGGAGAAGATTGATGAATTTAAATGATTCTCACAAATCCTGGTTCTTGTGCTCTCTCCGGATGAGCTTGGCCTTTCCTTGAAATAATGCAAAAATTGTTTGAAAAGCGTATTTAATGGTACTAACCGGGTTTGACTTAATCCAAGAGTCATTGAAATGAAAGTGGAGCGTCCGTAAGACGGGTCTGAAAACTTTATTATTGAGAAGAAAATCAAATGAATAAAATATTACTTCTATCTTTCTACTTCTCATCCAACAAAAATCGAAATTTCCGTAGACTTCTGTCATTCTTTCTATTAAATCTGAAAACATCATATTTTTACTGCAACATTATCGTAGCACTTACATCTGCTTTACATTACGCATCCGCAGCTCCAGTTCATCAAGGATTTTATAGAGTTGAATAATAATTGTAAAAATCGAATAAAAATAGGCCAGAAATGAATAAAAAATAATTAATGCGCCAGGAAGGACGAGTGGTGTCAACCAGATCCATTGCGCTCGCGGTGTATGTGCGCTGATCGCCGCCTAATCGCGCTAATCGCGGACCTAGATCGTAGCTGCCACACCAGGAGTTGCTGGTTCTAGAAGCCGCTTAGACCCCGGATGGCTGCCGAGTTGGCTATTAGCCGTTTTTCACCGCTATTAGCTAAAAACATGAGCTAATAGCCGAATTCCTTGGCTAATAGCCACGAAGGCGCCGGGAACGCGCCACTCGACGCCAAAAATTCTCTGAGTTATTGTCATAGGGTGGTTCCCATCCTCAACATTCTATCTTTTGGGGTTTGATTTATGAGTGGAGTCTCGGGGCCATGAATAGATGAAATTGAAAGATGTAATACGATTTTTGAACAGATGCAAATTTTTCTAGTTCACAATTTACACACTACTATAATAATTCGGTAAACTATTCGCACTTCCTCTATCTCTCCCCGCACTTATGGCCACAGTCACAAAGTGAGTGTCGAAAAATGATTGATCGTGTCATTTTCCAAATATCATCAAATGTTATTTTCTTTTCTTTCTCCAATTTTTTGCTGAAATATAAAGACGAGCTTATTTCGTTTACCTTGTCTTGATAACACATGAACTGCATGCGTTTTAACGGGGCATTAGGTGTAAGATAAGATAACAAAGGGAGTGAGTGAGTGTGCGAAATGGAGAGACGCAGTGAAGTTAGACAATACTGGCAACGTGATTGGAGAGATAGCATGAAGAGATAGATTATTCCAGGTTTTTTCGGTTTCATCTAGTTTTTATATTTTCAAGGTTCATAATTCAAAATCATTAAAACGCCGTTGCTCTTGATTATCTTGACCACCCTACATATACCCGATCTTTGAGTTTAATTATCTCAATTCCTATGAGAGATATGATAAGTTTGTCAACTAATGAAATGTGTGAAATTTTATCAGAATTATTTTTTTTGTTGAAATTTTTTTGAAAACTCATCTAGGAACTGAGATAATTGAGCTCAAAGTGCAATTTAAGGTGTTTACGGTACAATCAACCGAAAGTTCTAGAAAACAGGTATTAATTGATGACTCATGGACCCTTCTAGAAACTTCATAATCAGACCATTCTGAAAAATAAGGTTCTGATTTTTGATACCCCTTCATCATCACGTGGTCGTTCTGCCAGTCGGTCTATTACTCACAATTTCTCTATTATCTATTTGGCATGCATGACTGCTCTCTCCACTCTAGATAGTTCGATGGATCATATTATATGGGGAAAATACTTTTTGAAACTATCCATTTCCATTTAGTTGATTTCAAAATTCTAATCTTGCGAATTAATCTTACAAAAGACTTATTTTTTAGAAACATAGCCAAATATCGTGTCTTAGAAACTTGAAATAGTATAAATTGGGAAGTTGTGACATTTGCAGTTTCAAACTTGTGTTGAAAATTCTCATGTTTCTTTGATTATGATCATCCTTTTATTTCCAAAATTAATAAAGTTTCTCGGAAAGCTACTAACCAGTTCAAAGTTCAAACTGCAAGATTTTTTGTTCAGTGGGGCGCGATAGCAATTTTTTGTGAGAAAGAAAATTGTATCACTTTTCGTCACTTTTTAGATTTACTTCCATTATTATTACCATAATTGCAATTATTATTACCATAATTGCCGGCCCGCGGGTCGGCTCGTCGAGAAATTCGGAAAAATAAAAAGAAATTTGTTTCGAAATTCTTGGAATTTTTTCAAAAATTTATACAGAAACGTCCTATTTTTCGACTACTTTCTACTTTGTTAATTTTTTTTAAATGATGTAACTTTTTTCTTTTTTAATTCAAAAAAACTACCCAAATTTTCATTGGCCTTTTGCAACTATGGTTATTACTATTTTCGAAAACTGCAAAATTAAATGGAATTTTGGTCCAATTAATCCTTGAACATTTTCCTCTAGAAAATAAATTTGGTGCTGAAATACTGAATAATTGTAATATCTTCAGAGTTCTGAATAGAACACCGTCGTTAAAAGTTTTCTGAAAACCGGTTTTTAGTAAACATTCTTATAATAAATAAATTAAGTTGCCTCTCTTTTTCACTCTCGCTCAGTCTGTCCGCACGCGTAAATTTACATGACCCTTTGAGTGAGACAGAGGAGCGAAACGACGAACAGTAATAGATATAAGTTGGATTGCGCCGAAGGCGCACCAGCCAGCTTTTTCAAGCGCCGGAGGCGCGGCAAACAGGCTGGTAATTTATAAAAAAGTTTTAAACATTTAGCAACCACGCTATCCTGAATTAAAAGGCTTACAGTTCTAATTTGGAGAGGTCTGCAACAATAATTAAAGACAAATTTTCCAATTTTAAAACATTTTTTTAGAACAGTAATTTCCATCAAAAGAAATCACTATTTGAGAAAAAACTAGCATTAAAATTCGGTTCAAAAACTCATGAGAGAGTAGTTCAAAAAATTCACCTTGATTTTTTGAAAACTTTTCGAAGCAGTAAAACTTTGTGTTCCAACTTTTAAAGAAACCAAGAACCAAATTATAATGTAAAGTAGGAACTTTCGAAAGTTCGCAGTTTCCAGTACGTTTTGAAGACTGTCAATCATTCTAGGATACATTTGTCCATAAAAGATTTCATTTTCTCAGTTTCTTCAAAAACTCCCAATTCTACCGAAAAAAGAGCTTCCAGAAACCATGAAAGACGTAACCAATATATCATCGTATGACTCCACAAACTTGGTGTTTTACGTGAATGGAAAACGCGTCGAGGAGAAGGATGTGGACCCAAAAATGACATTGGTCGCGTATTTGAGAGATATATGTGAGTTTTTTTTTTTTTTAATTTTTGCGAAACAACTTTTTTTACTGTTTTAAGGACATGGTAAAATTTCAATTTTGTTTTTGTGTTAGTTCCAATGTAAATCTGAATTCCAAAAGTTGTTAAGAACATGAAAAATAATACTCCTTCCAAATATTTTTTTTTTCAAAGCGACCAAATTTCAAAAAAAAATTGAATTTCAGTAAAGCTAACGGGAACGAAAATCGGATGCAATGAAGGAGGATGTGGTGCATGTACGATTATGGTCAGTCACATAGAGAATGGAGAAATCAAGTGAGTTTGGAATCAGAACTTTAGAATCTGAGCATATCTAGAAGTTCGAATATTTCACGAATTTTGATGTCAAGAGTTCAAGAATTAAAAATCTTATGTGGGTCTGAAAATCACGGAAACTCTCAACATCGTAAAAATCTATGAATTCGGTCGATATGAAGCGGAAACTTTCGGTTTTAGAGCTGCCATTTCAGAAGATTGGATATTTTAGTTTTAGTATAGCAATGTCTCAGTATTCCAGAATTATTTAGAATCTCAGAATCTCCGGTCTTTCAGAAGATCAGATTCCAAAAACTGCAAATTTCTTGAATTAAATAAAAGAACTTTCCGTTTTCAGAAAAGACATTTAAGACATTAGCGATTTCTAGTTTCAGTAACGCAGAGGAATACAATTCCAGAATTCTTTAGAACTTCTCAGAATCGCAGAATCTCAGAATCTTAAAATTTGAATTTTTGAACTTCTGAGATTCCAAATTTACGTACTTCAGAATCTCAGAACACCAGAATCTCAGAATCTCAGAATTCTTCAAATCTCAGAAAATTCTTTTTTTTTTCTTCTGACCTTTTTCTAAATCTCATAGTTTTCAAAAATTGCAATTTTTCAATCTGAAAACCAAAATTCCGGTTTCAGAACTGCCATTTCAGTTGCTTAGATGTTCTAGTTTCAGTATAGCAGAGTCTCCATGTTCCAGAATTTTCCAAAACCTCAGAACCTCAGAATTTCAAAATCATTCAGAATATCAGAATCCTTCAGAATCACAGAATCTCAGAATCTCAGAAAACCCAATTTTCCAGACATTTCTCTGCCAACTCCTGTCTCATGCCAATCTGTGGTGTGTTCGGAAAAGCTGTGACTACTGTAGAAGGAATCGGAAGTGTCGCTAAGAATCGTCTTCATCCGGTTCAGGAGCGATTGGCAAAGTAGGTCAAATCCATATTTTACTTTTCGAAACCACAAATTTTCAGGGCCCACGGTTCTCAATGCGGTTTCTGCACTCCCGGCTTTGTGATGGCCATGTACGCTCTATTGCGAAACAATCCGAATCCTACTGTAGCCGACATCAATTTGGGTCTACAGGGAAATCTGTGCAGATGCACAGGTTATCGTCCGATTCTCGAGGCGTTCTACAGTTTTGCTGTGGATGAGAATGGAACGTTGAAGGTGAGGATAGAAATAAAGCTTCTGTTTCATTGTCTTTGTTTTACTTGTATTATCTGATTCATTTATTGAGTGTCTATTATACATATTCATTTAGGTTTCCGAAGACAACACCTGTGGTATGGGTGAGAACTGCTGCAAGAATAAAAAATCCAATGGAGCATCCTGCGGTGGTTCAGAAGACGTTACTCCTGGATACACTGGGGGAGAAAGGAAACGTGTAAGTCGTGCTTATCGACTGGGATACGCGGTTGCCCATGCTTGCCCAACGCTTGCCCTTGCTTGCCCATGCTTGCCCATGCTTGCCCATGCTTGCCCATGCTTGCCCATGCTTGCCCATGCATGTCCTCTGCTTGCCCTCCGCTTGCCTGACTCTCTACCATCCTCTAACCAAAAATTTTCAGAAAATCCAACTCAGCGACTTGTCAGACTGCAAACCTTACGATCCAACTCAGGAACTCATTTTCCCGCCAGAACTCAAACTCCATGGATACGAAACCATGTCATTTGCTTACGACCATCACCATACAAAATGGTACCAGCCTGTGGAGTATGAGTGAGTTTTGAAGTTTTACGGTTTCGTATACTTTTTGATATAGGAAATTTCCAAGGTGATCGATCTGACATCTATTCCATTTTCAGCGACCTCCTCTCTTTGAAACGAGAACTCCCTCATGCTCGCTTGATCTCTGGAAATTCCGAGTTGGCAATCGAATTGAAATTCCGGTTCATTGACCTTCCAGCAGTGATAAATCCCCGCCAAGTTCGAAAATTGCATGAGAGGCATTTGGAAGAAAATGGAGTCTATATGGGTACAGGAATGTCGTTGACTGATATGGATAATTATGCGGTGCAGTTAGTAAAGGAGCTTCCAAAAGGTGAGCATTTCTGTTTCAAAGTGTTCATAAAAATATGGAAATTATTGATTATCGTTCGATTTTCCTTACAAGTTTCGAAAAAATTCAAAAAATATGTTTCAAAATATGCATAAAACATCTGAAAGATCTCATTTTGTTACTTAAACGGATTCTAAAAATTCAAATTTTTTTCAAAAACTGTCACTTTCAGACCAAACGGGAGTGCTGAAACATGTGCATGAGATGCTTCATTGGTTTGCCGGTATTCATGTTAGAAATGTTGCAGTAAGTTCTGTTTCAAGATGTTTTTATTTGAAATTCGTGAAACTTTGCTATCAATAGGAAGAAGAACATAACTCGGCTCAAACTTCGAGTTTCGGTTGGAATTATAGTGGAAAACGTAGAACTCAACAAGATCTACAAAATAAAATATAACTCAACTAGGTTAACATAGCGTATTCTGAAGGGTTTAAAACATCGGGGTTGGCAACATCAAACCCGACTTCTTCACTGCTTCTAGTTAACTACTTGGTACATAGAACACAATGGAATTGAACAACATTTTGTAGATTTTTAACTGTGAAAATTTTGTTTCAGACTATTGTTATTTGAATCTCGTGAATTTTTTATTAGTTTTGTAGTTGAGTCATTCTGAAACTTGTAATTTCATTTTCGATCAAAAAGTAAAATATAAGACTTGAGGAGATCTTCAAGGTGAAATTCAATTCGACCAATTGAATTGAATTGACTATGTTCAAAAAGGTAGTTTCAAACAAGAGGTGATTGAAGCAATAGGGTCTAATAAAGGAATTCTAAGTTGGACTCGAGTCATGCCCTTCGAATGATCCCGGAAAGTTTACATACGAATTTTCAGTCCGTCGCTGGAAACATCGCAACCGCTTCCCCAATCTCCGACTTGAACCCCATCTGGATGGCCTCCAATGCCCAAGTGGTCCTCGACTCCGAAGCCCGTGGCGAGAAAAAAGTTCACATCGATGAGAAATTTTTCTTGGGCTACAGAAAAACCGTCATTCAACCCGACGAAATCATCAAGGCAGTTATTGTCCCATTGCTCACCAAAAATGAGCATTTTGCGGCTTACAAGCAGGCTCAACGTAGAGAAGATGACATTGCAATTGTAACCGGAGCATTTTTGGTGGACCTGGACCCTGAGAGTTCGATTGTGAAGAGCATCAGAATCTCCTATGGAGGTATGGCTCCAACCACTAAACTCGCATTGAGCACAATGGAGAAGTTGAAGGGATTGAAATGGTCTCAAGAGTTTTTGGATAAGGCTTTGGGACTGCTCAGTGACGAGTTGAAGCTACCGGCTGGTGTACCTGGAGGAATGTCGCAGTACCGATTGTCCTTGGCTCTGTCATTCTTCTTTAAATTCTTCCTGGAAGTTTCTAAGAAATTGAACTTGACTGAGATTCAGTACTTGGAGGAGGATATGAAAATTGGGCAAGATGTCCCAGAGACTTTGTATGCGACACAGTTGTACCAGGTGGGCAGAAAATCTAACTGAATGAAAAAACTATTTCTCTTCAAAAACGTGAAACTGAAACGGAAAATGTTTGCCGTTAACTCAAAATGAACATTTAGGATAGGCTTCTATAAGGTTTTTGGGCCGCTCATAACTCGGCTCAAACTTGGAATTTATGTGCGTATCAATAAGAAAAATGTAGAACTCAACAAGATCTATTGAATGATATCTAGTTTGATTATGTGCGAATAGCACTTTTTGGTCTAGATGCCCTGAAACAGCAGGGCTACCCCTCGGTCTACCAAATCTAGTGAAACGAGGCGCAAGAATAGGCCCATTGAACGACGGGAAAATTAGAAACAATATTGCCAAACTGAAACATCAAAACTTTTATTTGTCAAGTTTCGGTTCAACATCTGGCATAGTAGCACTATTACAACTCCTATCCTTAAAACAAAAAAAACTTCCAGGAAGTGAACGCCAACCAACCAGCCCACGATCCTCTGGGCCGTCCCATCAAACACGTGTCCGGTGACAAACACACCACTGGAGAAGCCGTCTATTGTGACGATATCAATGTAGCCGACTGCCAACACATTGCATTTGTCCTCTCTCCGATTGCTCATGGAACTCTCAACTCTATCGACTACACAGCAGCATTGGAGCTAGATGGTGTGATTGGCTATCTTGATGCTTCAGATGTGACTACTGGAGCTCAAATGGGACATCACAGTGATACACCAGTCTTTGTTAAAGATAAGATCACATTCCATGGACAACCGATCGCTGCAATTGTGGCCACAGATCATGAGCTGGCGAGGAAGGCGGCGAGCTTGGTTAAGTTGGATTATTCTCAAGAGAAACCGATTGTAACGATTAAGGTGGGCCTTTGCATTGACTCCCTATCCAATAAAGTATTTTCAGCAAGCTCTGGCAGCCGAGTCCTTTGTGTTCAAGCACTTTGTGATCCATTCCTCCCTTAACGACAACGAGACAGTAGTCAAAAACGATTGGTCGAAATACGATCGAGTCGTGGAAGGAGAAATCGATATGGGTGGTCAGGAGCACTTCTATCTCGAGACCCAACAATGTCTCGTAATCCCACACGAGGATGATGAGCTCGAAATCATTATCAGTAATCAGTGCATCAATGATGTTCAAATCGAAGTGGCAAAGTGCCTTGGCATGGCGCAGCATAAGATTCAGACCAAGGTGAAACGAATCGGAGGTGGATTCGGTGGAAAAGAAAGTACCGGAGCGATTCTGGCTGTGCCGGCGAGTTTGGCGGCGAAGAAATTTGGAAAACCGATGAAGATCAAGTTTGAGAGATTTGATGATATGGCAATTACGGGGACACGACATCCGTTCACTTTGCAGTATAAGGTAAGTGTCGCTATGATTTCAGCATATTCAACGTATTATTCTTGTGCAAAAAAATTGGAGTTGTGGCCGAATTTTCACAGAAGTTAGGCCACCGTATTTCAAGGAGAATTTTCGAAAACACAGCCGGCAAACGAGTGCTACCGTAACCCAACAATAAATATTTTCGCAAAATTTTTGACTTATTTTTTTTCTTTTTATCGATTTTTTCGCGGTTTTGGCCGTTTTTTCACCATTAGAATTCCACCACAGTGGCGAGATATCAG